CATAATCGGGGCGACCCGGGATTCGAAACCACAATCTTAGGTTTCTGGCGTGCCCAAAGGACGCAACTCTGCACAGCGAATCGCGACGCCTTAGACGACTGGGCCACCCGTGCGGCCTGAGTTGTATTTAGGCATCTGTTTAAAATACCATGAGTAAGGAATAGTTTCCAATTATTGATGACGAAACGTTAGTAAGACCTTAGGAATACATGTAATATTTTAGATGACCGTCCCCATGTCCTTGTACATTTTGTCATGACCCTCCCTCAAAAGACATTTTAGTGACCCTCCAAAGATTCCCAGACATTGTCAAGCTCAACTATATGAATAACAAATCTACTTAAATGGGAGATTGGTCGGATAGCTCAGTCAAAGCATCGCAATTCGCCAGAAACCTATGATTGTGGTTTCGAATCCCGGTTCGCCCCGATGATGTTTCTAGTTCTGTCAGCACCATACTCCTTCTCTTGGGTTCTCTTGGGTTCCACCATGGTGGCGAACGTGAAAGATCTGCATCACTCCGGGCCTTTGTCACACATATATACGCCACACGCAACAATATAACTGCAATATTCTTCAAAGCGGCGGTGAACTCGGTCACTCACTCGTGTTTACTCAATTAAATGTTTGTGTTGCTGCAATGTTTACAACATGAGTTAACTGACTGTCAATATGACAACTCAATTATCAAGAGATTTTCTCCAACACATTCAGGCTATCGAGAAACTTCCCATGTGGTCCATGGACATCCTGCATAAGAACCCGGATGTGAGGGGTGGCATTGACTGTCGCAAGCTCCACACACTGTTGAAGGGAATGAGGAGCTTTGACAAGTTTACGGAGAAAATCCAAAACTCGCTGTGCAAGACATTTTCCTACATGTGGTACGTTAGAGTGATTGAATGTCTTTACACGCCGTGGTAAGCAATATTTCACCACAGAATAAATCCAATTGAGAGCATGTTGGGATTGCATGTCAAATCATCAAAATCCATATTTGCGGTCTATTAAACCATTGCTTTATATCATAAAAACAGGTGGTGGGTGTGTGGACGGGTCGGCGATTTGTCTTAGGACATTATCATATATTGCCGACCCAACCCACCCCCACCCTATTTAATGTAACATAGTTTCACGACCCGCGCCCCTCCCCTAATAAATGACCAGTATCTAAAAGAGATTAATTAAATTTATATTTTTTTATTCCGTAAATAAGAATTGTGACATTAAGCGTGTCATCATATTTTGTAATATTTATCATCTTCTACTGTCTGATTCCATAGAATGCAAGGAATGTGTTTGTGTGCAAAACAAAATTGTTGCTGTATTAAGATTCTGATAGCTTTCAGCCTGTATCAGGCGTATTTTAATCGGTTTTGGACGGACCCGCGATCCTTAATTTTCACAAATGTGGGAAAATAGATACACTGTTTTTAGGTATTTGTATATTCTTTCTTCCCAAAGTCTTAAACGTGAGTAAACGGAGGAGTGAGAGAGAGTATGGTTTTGATTTGTACGCCGCTTTTAGCAATATTCCAGCAATATCACGGCGGGGGACACCAGAAATGGGCACCACACATGTGGGGAATTGAACCCGGGTCTTCGGCGTGACGAGCGAACGCTTTAACCACTAGGCTATGTTTCGACCACCGTAATCCATGTGATGAGGTTTCATCAGTGTGAACATCTTGAATCTGTAACTAAACCATATCAAAGTTGTTGTTGTTTGTTGTTTAACGTTACACTCAGCAATATTCCAGCTATGTGGCGGCGGTCTGTAAATACTCGAGTCTGGACCAGACAATCCAGCGATTGACATCATGAGCTTCGATCGACGCAATTGGGACACGATGACATGCATCAACCAAGTCAGCGAGCCTGACCACCGATCCCGTTAGTCGCCTTTTACGACAAGCATAGTCGCCTTTTACGGCGCGCATGGGTTGCTGAAGACCTATTCTACCCCGGATCTTCACGGGTCCATATTCAAAGTAAAAAAGTGTACATGTGATACCAAATTATGCTTCCCAAAACTAAAAAATAGTTTACTTTTAAGTATATTTGTTCCCTAAAAGATTATTTTTAAATTAGTTTTCAGGAGGGTCGTGTGATTATCAGACAGGGTCACGTGGGACAGAACTTTTACCTCATCTATTCTGGGTCCGTGTTTGTCAACGTCACCGAGACGGACCCTAATGGACGCATGTTCGTCAAGAACGAAGCCGTGTTGACCAAAGGCGATTCATTCGGGGTACGTACAGTGGTCGCGTTCATTCTTTGGAAGAGACCGTCTCATGTGGATAGAGCATCAGCCCAAAGAGCGGAAGGTCGTAGGTTCGATCCCCGCCGCGTCATTCAAAAAGACGTTAAAATATGCTACTTATTGTTACCCTGCCTGCTGCTCGGCATTCAGGGGCTAAAACAAGGACTGACGGCTCGGAGTATACTGCGTTTGAGTGGGGTATTCAAGTTAAACTGCGGCATGGTATCTCAGTGGGCTAGCACTATAAAACCGGCGTTAGTCCGGACTAGTACAAGCAGTCACACACACACACACATGTGCATCACGTCGCTATATAAGTGCAATAATCTTCGACGCGACGTTAAACCCCATTTTACCTCACCTCTATGTACTTTGGAATATATACATATTAACCACATATTCGCCGTCGCATGCATTAGTGCGATAGTTTTACAGATCTGCCACTTGTATATTCAAGTACGGAGTGTATACTCCACAGGGAGCTGATCATGAGAACCCAGTGGTACTGCATTGCTATCCAAAATTCTTTTTGGCTAAAGTACATGCATTTTAAACCAGACAATGAAATATCAAATACAATCGCCCTGATACATTAAAACACCATTTCCTAATGGATACGCAAGATAACGCATATATGTTTATCCTTACCCTAAATCCACTCTCATCATCATTCAAGTGGACCCGTGAAGATCTGGGGTAGAATTCAGCAACCCATGATTGCCGTAAAAGGCGACTATGCTTGTCGTAAGAAGCAACTAACGGGATCGGTTGGTCAGGCTCTCTGACTTGGTTGATGCATGTCATCGATCCCAATTGCGTTGATCGATGCTCATGATGTCAATCACTGGATTGTCTGGTTCAGACTCGATTATTTACAGATCACCGTCGTATAGCTGGAATATTGCTGAGTGCGGCGTTAAACAACAAATAAACAAACAACCATCATTCGAGTGATTCCTGAGGCGGTTGGGTAGCCTAGCGGTTCACGCCAAAGACCCGGGTACGATTCCCCACATCGGTAAAATGTGTGAAGCCCATTTCTGATGTTTCCAGTCGTGGTATTGTTGGAATATTGCTAAACGATACTCACTCATCCAGTCCAGTGATTCCACAACGGTCTGTGCTTAATAAGTCTGGACCTTCAAAACCAGTGGTTGATAGCATGAACACCGTAGCCATCCGATTCCCACACGTCACCTCTTGCGGGAAGTGCAAATACAGGGACATAACCAAACCACGCGGGTGGTATGTTTGAAAGTGTCTGAGTGTTTTAGTGTCATGTCTGTGTGTCTTCCAGGAACTCGCTCTCCTCCAAGACATCCGGCGCACTGCCACCATCGTTGTCAGGGAAACCTGCGAGCTGCTGGTGGTCGAGAAAAATGTCTTCTCGCAAGTTTGTCCAAGAATCTTCGAGATCGAGCTGGAAGAAAAACTGGACATAATGACGTGAGTGACCTCGAAACATGCCATTTGACTTTCTGTTGACACGATTTTATAATTGCGAAGGATATGTATGTTAATATTCGCCGACACATTTAATATGTCCACACTTGATGGTCGTGTTACTTCGTCACGGGTGACACATCCACATATCCATCATATGTTTGAAAGTCATTTGTAGAATGAAAGTTTTACGTTTAGTTTTGGGAGTCCGGTGTTTTAAATGCATAGTGGTTAAAGCTTTCGCTCGTCTTGCCTCGCGGGCACTCTTAATATCTCCGTGATGTTGATATGATATTCATCGTGATGTTGACAAGAATATTGATCATGATATTGATAGAATACTAGTATTGATCGTGATATAGATAGAATATTGATCGTGATGTTGATAGAATATTGATCATGCTATTGATAGAATACTAGTATCGATCGTGATATAGATAGACTATTGATCGTGATGTTGATATAATATTGATCATGATATTGATAGAATACTAGTATTGATCGTGATATAGATAGAATATTGATCGTGATGTTGATAGAATATTGATCGTGATGTTGATAGAATACCAGTATTGATCGTGATATAGATAAATATTGATCGTGATGTTGATGGAATATTGATCATGATATTGATAGAATACTAGTATTGATCGTGATATAGATAGAATATTGATCGTGATGAGGATATTAAATTAATTGCGATATTGATAGAATACCGATCGTGATACTGGTAGAATATTGATCGTGATGTTAATATAATATTGATCGTGATGTTGATAGAATATTGATCGTGATGTTGATAGAATATTGATCATGATGTTGATAGAATACTAGTATTGATCATGATATTGATAGAATATTGATCGTGATGTTGATAGAATATTGATCATGATATTGATAGAATACTAGTATTGATCGTGATATTGATAGAATATTGATCATGATAATGAAAGAATATTGATCATAATATTGATAGTCAGTTGTTTGTAATATCGATGGAATATTGATCTTGATACCGATAGAAGACAGATGATGATACTGACAGAATATTGACTGTAATAATATTGATCGTGATAATGGTAAGATATTGATCGTGATATTGATTTCGATATTGATAAAATATTGATTCTGATACTGATAAATTACAGATCATGATATTGAAAAATGTTGCTTAAAGCGACAAAAGATCATTCTCACTTATTCGTGTTTCAATTCTAATACTTAATGATACACTTGCCTTCTTAAACATGTTTAGCATCTGCATCACTGCTTCAGGAAACTGCATCTATTCAGCCCTAAGTGGTGGAGCGAACGTGCTAAGAAGAACCTGGCCCTGACAGCCCAGATACAGGATGTGAGTGAGGATGTATTGTTGTTGTTTTCTGTTGTATATTTTATTGTAGTCTTTTTTTAAATATATCATTTTAAAATATTTACCATGTATATTTACCATGTATAAGTGTAATATCTCACACCAAATATTGTTTCAGTACAAGACTAATAAAGTCATAGTGGCTGACAGCGTGCGAGAGGAGTGGATCTATGTCTGCATTGAGGTAAGTACAGTCCGAAACAAAATCGCATGACCACTACTATCTAATATACTATAATGGTCATTTGAAATGTGAAACCTATTGATTGCTCAATATGCAAAAACACATTTTAAACTAACAGGAAACCCCTACATAAAGACATTAAGTTTTTATTAGTTGGTTAGTTGGCCTAAAATCCAATGTAGGTGTTCGAAAAAACAATTTCAACGTCCAGATCACTGTGTGAAGACTAGATATCTTTTCAGCTACAGATACAAATAAGATATTTAAAAATTTAATCTGTGAGCCTAAATATTTGTTTAAAATGTATTTTTGTGGCAGACAATTAATTTTTTTTAAATGTCAGAAACATAATTATGTTTTCAAGCATTCCTGGGACATTTAATTTCGATAAAATCCCAGGCCCGGTCGGTATCTAATGAATGAAAAGTTATGTCATGGCAAGATACCGAAAGAAAATTGATTTTTTGTTTTGTTGTTAGAATAAAGATTTCTATACTTGCTATACACGAAATCTCATGAACTGTGGTGATAAATATCGTGTTGTTTTTCACTTCACCCAATTGGGGTGTGTGTGTGTGTGTGTGTGTGTGTGTGTGTGTGTGTGTGTGTGTGAAACGTCATTTTTGTTTTCTTCTTAGTTTAGCTTTATGGGGTCGGTCGGTTCGCTCTCGTAAACCAACTCAAACAAAATATAAGGCCTTATACCACTTTATCATAAGGAGGCACGGGTGGCCCAGTTACCTAAGGTGACGCAATACGCTGTACAGAGTTGCGTCCCTTGGGCAGGCCAGAAACCTATGACCATGGGTTCGAATCCCGGTTCTCCTCGACTACGTGTCTAGGTTTAACACCAAACCCGTGCTCGTGGGTTTCACCGAAGTGGTAAACGTCGGAGACCTGCATCACTTCGGGCTTTCCTCCCACATTAAGCTGACACGCCGTGATATAACTGGAATACTGTTGAAAGCGGCGTTAAACCAAACTCACTCACTATCTTCCTCATTATGTTAGTGATATGATCCCGACGTATTTTGATAATGTTAATAAGGGAAGCAGCTTTAGTTTGTCTTACTGGGAAATATTTGACATTTTAAAAAAAGAAGCAATTAGTGGGACGGACCATACTTGCTCTTCTTACCTCCGTCAATCCTACTCTGATGCCTCATTCTACAAAGGGACCGCCTCCGTGGTCTGGTGGTAGAGCGTCCGCCCGGAGAGCGGAAGGTAATGGGTTCGATCCCCGACCGCGTCATACTAAAGGACGTTAAAAGATGGTACTTGTTGTTACCCTGTCTGGCGCTCGGCAGTAAGGGGCTAAAACAAGGACTGGTCTGCTCGGAGTCAGTATACTGTGTCTGAGTGGGGTATTCATGTTAAACTGCGGCATGGTATCTCAGTGAGCTAGCACTATATAATCGGCATCAGTCCGGACTAGTACAAACCGCCACACACACACACACACGTACATGCACGTCGTTATATAAGTGCAATAACCTCGGACACGACATTAAACCCAATTTCACCTCACCTCACCTCACCTTATTCTACCAAGTGTATGCAAGTTACCAATACGTCTCGAGGAGTGTCACCCGCACATCTACAGTCTCAGACAGTGTAGCTTACTTCAGTGACCGAGACACTTGTACGGTTTATTCTAGAAACGCCGAAGAGTTTTCATGGAAGAAACTGTTGGTATTTTGGTCAGTACATCGAGGAACGCATGGAACAGTTACTTTGCTAACTTATACTCCACTCCGGGCGAGAACATATTTTCTCTTTTATGTGACGTTTACGCATCGCACAAATGACGAAAGTAACCGAAACGCGCATAAAATATTCACAATTTACATACCGTAACACACCTCACTATAGGTCATAATAGCCACAGAGCTATAATATCCGTGCTTTGACAGTCAGACAGTTCGATGTTGGTAACTCCTGACACTTTCCCCTGAGTTACGTTTATGAATTAAATGAGGAAAATATTAAAATAATCTTCTCATGAGAAGATCATGGTCATGTATTATTGCGTACATTCTAAATAGGGAAAACTGTGTCAGTACACGAGGCTAACATCTAATCTCTGAAATGTACATATTTTACAGATAACAGATAGTTGTTAAATAATAGTTATAAAAATATAATAAAAAGAGCCCAGAGATTACTGCAGGAATCTAGACTTGCCAAATATTATACACTTGTATGGGCTGTATTGGATATATATTTGTTGACAGACTAGACAGTACACCTACGGTTTAGGTAAATGAAACCATTATTACGAGCCCGGAAGGGCCATACAATGTTTTATCTTAAACATCCCCAGGGTAACTGTCAAGTAATCCGATGTCTGGAGATGGACAAGAAAGAAGAGTTATCTGCCCTTGCCATCCGACGCCGATCAACTGTTTTGCTGTCTGACGAAATTTTGGACCTGCTTGGAAGTTTCCCGGAAAGCAAGTCAGGTGAAGATTGTGACACCATATTTACATCACTATACACATCTTGTCAACACAGGCGACGTGACATAGGTCCGCGATAACAACACACGTTTTCAGGTGTATAGTGAGAGATCGTCAATATGTACGGTACTGGTCACAAGAATCTTAGTTCTCGCTTCCGCTTCCGGGTCAAGTCAGAACGATCTTTCATCCGACCAATCAGAGCCTCGCTTTCGAGATAGGGAAGGTGACAGTCGGAATGTGTTTTCTTATCATTCAATCTCGAAAAACGTAACACGGGGTATCCCGAACGATAGTTACGCGCTGTTGGACTGATTCCGTCAAAAACCATCGTCTATCTTTCTCTTCAATGGAATAAAGATTTGAGACGGAAGTGACTATTCAAAGCCTGTGGGAAGTACTGATGTACATTCTGGGCAATCTGTTACACATTCTAAAATTTACTCATGTTGAATCGCCCCGTGAGAATCCGGGGCAGAATAGGTCTTCAGCAACCCATGCTTACTGTAACAGGCGACTATGCCTGTCGTAAGAGGCGACTAACGGGACCGGGTGGTCAGGCTCGCTGACTTGGTTGATGCAAGTCATCGTATGCGGCGTTAAACAACCTAATTGAGTATTCTATTAAAGAAATAATCTACCCCGGATCTTCACGGGTCCGATGCAAATTGACGTTTTGATAATTTTTGTAATTTTTTTTTTCAAAAGCAATTTTCGAGTGGATACTTTCCCTTGCTCGGCAGTTTATTATTCTCGTCAATGTGACGTCTGATATTACCTCACTCACTCACTCAACTATCTTATGCTTCCGCCAGCCCAAGAGAAGACTCGGCGCCAGTCTGGAATTGTTGGACCCAACTCGACGAAGGAGAAGCTTCTGGGCTCGCTCGGTCTCGACTATGTCGACACAGGGAGGGTAAATATTCTTCTTCTATGCGAAACATAAAGGCAAGACCAGTTCATTTATTTGGTGAATGGTCTACATATCCTTCCTTTTCCTAATTAAAAATAGATTGCTGAGGTTGATCGAAAATATATTTGATCACATGTGTCTTGTTGCACTTTCAATAGCTTTTCTGTGGAAATTAACACCAAATCCACCTTACTTTTACCTATTGCTGCATGGAATATTTCCAGAGAAAATCTGAAAAACAAGATATCATACAAACCCTCACAAAAAGTTAAAGAACACTCAAATCTTTCATTTTACTATTAGTTTATCTGTCATGGCAGACTGACTACAGTAATGAAAGAATCGGATGTCTTTAACTTCTTTTGAGTAGTATATATCGAGAAAGATTAACAATGGTACCATGAGGAGATTCGCGTGTGTTCCTTTACTTCCCGTGAATAGTATATATCATCTCTCAACGGACAAGGAGAGGCTTCTATGTTTTTTAACAAAACCAAAACCAAAGTCCTAATACTGGTAACAACTTCTGGCAAAATGAAAATTTAGTCGACGGGTTGTCTTCCAACCCCCAATTCGTAGCGAGAGTTGTGTTAGAAGCGCTCCATAAATATCAGCATGGGTCGGTTATTACCTTCGCGCACGGACGTTGATGTAAAAGCTGACACAAGACGGGTTATTACATCGGTGTTGATCCTAAATTAAGACAGTCCTTTCCAAAACTGTCTGAAACACAACTGAATTATATAAAGAAACTAAAAATACAACACATACTTCCTGGACGTGAGAACACAATGGCATCAATGGTATCACGGAAAAGCTCCTTTGTGCTCTCGTCACGTTAACATCGGCGTCGATTTCACTTTTTTAAAATTGTCAGTACGTTTGATTAGTGTAATTTGACTGGCATGAGCAAACGATGCTATCATATTTCTGGCAACCAGAGTTGACGGGATTCAACCGAGGGAAGTATTCGATATAAAACACGTAAAATGCAACCTTAGATATAATAACGGCTGCAAGGAGCAGGAGGAACACATGTGTTTTGTTTGTTTGTTTGTTTGTTTGTTGTTTAACGCCGTACTCAGCAATATTCCAGCTATATGACGGCGGTCTGTAAATAATCGAGCCTGGACCAGAATATCCAGTGATTGACAACATGAGCATCGATCTACGAAATTGAGAACGATGACAAGCATCAACCAAGTCAGCTAGCCTGACCCCCCGATCCCGTAAGTCGCCTCTTACGACAAGCATAGTCGCCTTTTACAGCAAGCATGGTTTGCTGAGGACCTTATTCTATCCCGGATCTTCACGGGTCACAGCCATGTGCATTAACACACAACAATGAGACTAGTGAATGGTTGACAAGTGTTTCATTGCTTGACACAGGTACCATTGTACCTTTTCCAGTTAATGCACTATCTTGAAGTTTTGTACACCAATGACAAGAAACTTCAGAATAACGCTTCTAACATCAAACGCCATGCAAAATCATCACAGTTGCTTTATTAATTCTCATGTATTGATGTCAACAATCGAAAGTTAAATTACCCTGAAGCATCGGAATAAACATACACTATCCATACCTAGTTAATTATATTCATTAAAATGGTTTTGTTCCTGACTGAATCATAATTTTCTTGACCGATGACGTCACTAAGGCTGCTAACCAGAGTACCTCAGCCAGGGGTTCAGTGGGTATGGGCGACTTTGGTCAACCGAAGTATGACGTCAATCAGTTAACATGTGCTAACATTGGTCCACCAAGGTTAACTTGGGTTCTATCTCGGTCAACAAAGGTTCCATGGGTTTCCATTCGAACGGAAAAGGTATCACGTGGCCGTCCCCCGACGAGACACACTGCAGACAGAAGAGTTGATGAACTGTACTCCTTCTGACATCCTGTTCACGGAACATTTGTCCGAACTGCTACCCCTTTGTATCTGTACAGGGGGCACAGTGGCCCAGTCGTCTGAGGCGCCGCGATTCGCTGTGCAGAGTTGCGTCCCTTGGGCACCACAGAAACCTATGATTGTGTGTTCGAATCCCGGTTCGCCCCGATTATGTTTCTAGGTTTGTCAGCACCATACCCGTGCTCGTGGGTTTCATCGAAGTGGTAAACGTCTGAGACCTGCATCACTTCGGGCTTTCCTCCCACATTAAGCTGACACGCCATGATATAACTGGAATACTGTTAAAAGCCGCGTTAAACCCTACTCACTCACTCACTCACTCACTTGTATCTGTACATTTTACTTATGTTTCTATTAAACGAATATTAGTATCATATAAATATACATTGTTAACAAGTAGCTATTTATATATCGTGAACTATAGTAACCGATGGCCAAAATAAAGTCTTGTCCAGTTTAAAATGGTATTGGTTTATCGTTAAGGAGCACCGTCATGTTCACAGACTGTAATTACTCAACCGTAGTCAGTACTGATTTAAAGACAAACTTTCCCATCACTTTCTGACCGTTTGTCAACATATCGTCCCATTACAATTCCACGTTAATGCTAGCTGGAATATAACCTATATTTCAGTTGTCAAATACATATATTCAATTAATTGAAATTAACAATAGTAGTTATAAGACCGTTTTCACAATTTCACAGTCCATGACTCGAAATGATTTTTTTCAAATGTGTGTATGCTTGGGTCAAAGAAGTGCACCTGTTCAAATATCAGAAGCTCTGAAACCTATTAATCAGACTTACCTATACATACTTTGTCATCTGTCCAAATTGTTAAAGTGTTAAAATGAACAAATTCTAAATTTCGTTCATGTGAACAGATCTGATGACTCTCGTTAAGATTTCTAAATGTTTTGTTGATTTCCTAAATTATGCAGGTCAAGTCATCCTCGATTCCTCAGTGTTTGTATCTACATTCTATAAATACCCTTGCCCATTCGCCACCATATTTTCGTTTCGGAAGTGTCGTCTCCACCCCCTTCGCTCCTATCTGTAACTTAGCACAGAATTTCTCTCGCTCAAAAAAGCAGTTTCACTGGACGTCTATTTTTAGTGTCGTACCTTTGGAATTTGGCTCGATTCGAAGGTGAGGTTGCGAAAGGCCCTGGGGTTAAAAAAGCCTATTTATCAAAATAGAATGTAGACATAATAAACTGGCTGATCTTAGATGAGATCACTCTGACCCCATAAGGGATCAAGGTGTCCGTATCGTGTCATTGTTGATGATGCTGCAACTGAGCGATGCTCCACTTCCAGCGACAGAAGGCCTTCATTGAGGCCATAGAGCAGGTGGAAAAGAAGAAGGCCCTGTCGGCCGTGAGAGGTCACATGACCTTGACCTCCTTCATGAAGGACAAACTGGAGAAGACGACATCGGACCTTGTATTCCTCCATGTGGCCGTCCTGAACCCGAACGACATATTTGTAAGTCAATGCAGTTATTTATTTTAGCAACAGGGCCCTTCCCAGAAACCAATCTTGCACTGGGGCAGTCTATGTTACTTAGCATTGTGCAACACAGCCTCTAGTCCTAGGTTGTTGTTATAGTATGACAGTTACGATCTGTCGTAGGTCAATGTTAAGATGTGCTGTTTTTCAATGGTAGGTCAGTTTTACGATATGACAGTCGTAGGTTAGTCTTATGCATGGTATGGAGTTACAACAGTCGTATGCCAGTGATATGGTATGGAGTTACGCCAGTCGTATGCCATTGATATGGTATGGAGTTACGCCAGTCGTCGGCCAGTGTTATGGTATAGAGTTACGCCAGTCGTCGGCCAGTGATATGGTATGGAGTTACAACAGTCGTATGCCAGTGATATGGTATGGAGTTACGCCAGTCGTATGCCAGTGATATGGTATGGAGTAACGCCAGTCGTCGGCCAGTGTTATGGTATAGAGTTACGCCAGTCGTAGGCCAGTGATATGGTATAGAGTTACGCCAGTCGTAGGCCAGTGTTATGGTATAGAGTTACGCCAGTCGTCGGCCAGTGATATGGTATAGAGTTACGCCAGTCGTAGGCCAGTGTTATGGTATAGAGTTACGCCAGTCGTCGGCCAGTGTTATGGTATAGAGTTACGCCAGTCGTCGGCCAGTGTTATGGTATAGAGTTACGCCAGTCGTAGGTTAGTGTTATGGTGTGAGGGTTACAACATTCGGAGGATAATGTTTTGGTATGGGTTCTATTAAAGTCGTAGGGCTAAGTTTGCTTTGTTGGACGCGGCCCATCCGCTAACTAAAGACAGTTAATGATTAACGATTAAGTCGATTATTGTGTACCAAGTCTGTCGGAAAGTCACGCTTTGAAGAAATGAAACCACTTGACCCCGATTTGATCAGAATTCGTTCGGTGTACTCTATTCAATATCAGATTACACGTTCCCAACGCAAACAATCAAATACAATAATAAAAATGCCGTCCCGATTTGATTTAGTTCTTACTGGTCAGGATAATGTGCCAGTTAGTCTGGCGTTGTTGATGCAGCCTGGTCAGTGCTGACCACATGATTATGTATATGACAGATCATAATTAAATCGGTGGAAAATAAATTGGCACTTTTCGATATTTTATTCTGACGGTCTCGAGGGGCTTGGCATTTCCGTGTCCTTATCCCATTTTATGAAGTGTTTCAACTTGATAGATCTATCATATCTATCATCCTGTGGTATGGTTCGCCTGCATGCGTCTGAAGGAAGCTTCTATGTAAACATTATGTTTTTGAGAGACTGTTTGTTTGTTTGTTGTTTATCGCCGCACTAAGCATTATTCCACCTATATGACAGGAGCTTGTAAATACTCGCGTCTGGTCCAGACAATCCAGTGATCGATATTTTGACCAACGATCCACACCGTCAGGTTACGATGACATCATCAACCACGTCACCAATCCTCACCATCCGATCCGTTTGTAGCCATTTACGCCAAGCATAAATATCGATATACTCCCAAGGGAGCTGAGAAAGAAATTCCTTGAAATGCTTGCTCACCCATGTTGTCGTCGTCGTATCCTGTCGACATGTGACGTTGTTCATAATAGTTGTTGTTGTTTGTTGTTTAACGCCGCACTCAGCAATATTTCAGCTTTATGACAGCTGTCTGTAAATAATAAATGGAGTCTGGACCAGATAATCCAGTGGTTGACATAATGAGCATCGATCCACGCAATTGGGATCGATGACATGCATCAACCCTGTCAGCGAGCCTGACCACTAGATCCCGTTAGTCGCCTCTTATGACAAGCATAGTCGCCTTTTATGGCAAGCATGGGTTGCTGAAGACCTATTCTACCCCGGATCTTCACGGGTCTGTTCATGATAGTAACCACTAGGTTAGTGAGTTTCACATTGCGAATCCATGTGAGGAATTAACCCAAGACTTTGGGATGTCAGTCGAACACATTCACTATCTCGCTTCACCATTGTATGCTTTCCTCCCACGCCCTGACGTAACTGAGATACTGTCCAAACCGGTGTTAAACCAAACTCACTCATTCTCCAATAATATATGCTTCTGTTCATCCAGTAGCGAATGGGTACCCGGTAGGATTAGATGGTAATGTATCTCTAAACCTTCTAGCGCCTCAACCGGCACTATAGATGGCTATATAGTCCCAAGGTTGCTGATAATTATTGTTATTAATAATAATAATTGATTTTGTTGATGCTTCTGTACTGCTGGACGGTACAGAAATGAATGTCAACCAAGTGAAGTGCCATATCAAAACGGCCAAGATTTCGGTTTTCAAGGAGAGGTTGCATGAACGACCACTGCATCGAGTTCATGTGCAGTGTGTTGAGAAAAACAGCAACCCTGCAAGCCGGCTGGCCTTTAAAAATGAAACCGAAGGCTTTCTGTTTGCTGCTCAGGACCAGCCACTTCCCACTCGAAACCGTCAATGTCTGAGTTTGCATCAAAATGTAAATATGAAATGTAGATTATGCAATGAATGTAATGAGACTTTCCAACTCATTGGACACAGTATCTTAAGCGGCACGATGGAGTGGCTCGATCCTTTTATTACTGTCTTCGCCATGCTTGTGGTTTTGACACAGAAGCCCATCCATGGTATGACCCAGAATATGTAAAGGGCGTCATGGAAAATGACTAATACAAAAGTATTTGGAATAGGCCCGTATACAACCTCAGACCTATCCAGTCCAACAAACATGATCTTGTCCTTTTTGATAAATCCAATGAAATCATTTATATATCGGGATGCGTATATTTAAAGTTGCATTTGCCACGTGACGTGGCCACACGTTTTAGTTGCCGCAGAGCCCTTGTTGTTTTTATCATCATTAACGATTGAGACGCGACAGTATAAATGATATCGTACTCTGTGCAACATTATATGTCCCTGGGGCCCTCCTCACGAGGAACTATGCACGATAATGTTTACACAATCTGCAAGTATTTACAGACACATTCTCCGAGGTCAAATATGATCCTGTTGCAGACATGTGGTAATTGAGTGTGACGCAAGGAGCGACTCTCTCGCCTTTGGTTTTATCAAGTTATTCAAACATCACGGCCATAGGCGTGGGAGCTCTTATCAGGATGTGGAGTTGCTTTATATGAAACAGCATATCAGAATATCGGGAGATGGGAACATAATTAGATTGATTATCCAAAACGTATGGCAGCCTGGAAGGAACATTGTCGCGTTGTCGCGCCTTAAACGCCCTTTTCTGAAACATTTTACCTTGACCTTGAAAATGTCGCGAAGTCGCATTGTACGAAAGCCTAATGGTGCTATTTGGTAGCACGTTTCTTTTTAAATCGACATTTCTCGTTATTTCAATTGTTTGTGTATTTTCTCGTAAGTTTTTAAATAAACCTGAAATAGCGAGGAAATTATCGAAGTGAGAGGAAATAACGTAAAATAACGAGAAAAAACCTCGAAGTAACGAGAAAGAACTCGAAATTTCGAGAAAATAATTGACATAACGAGAAATTTTGATTGAGAAAAAAAAGAAATATGCTACCAGAGTGGTATCGTTAGGCTTTCGTAGTATTGTCGCCCTTTTGTAAAAGAACAAAATAGTATTCAAAGAACGACAATGCGACAACGTGACAATGCGATAAAATTTTGCTTGCTTTTGGGGAAGGCGACAATGCGACAGTTCGGCAATGTCCCCACTAAGATTCCACCAAAACGTGTGTACATAACTCTTATTTCTCTCCAGCGACACCCGGCGTGAAAAGAAAGTACAATGTTCAATCTACCGAACGCCAAGTTTAATTATATAGCTCAAAATATGAAAAGGGTCCTTCTGGACGAATGTTTATTTGAATCTTTCGTGACCTCTCCAATAATTGTCACATCGGTATTTCAAAAGTTTGGTGAGTTTAAAAATTGACAGTTTCAGTGCATCGCCCTATCACAGCTAGTCCTTACAACGCGGTTCTTTGTTGTACCTATATTAAGAATCTTTGAATTTCATTGGTTAATGCATGTCATGGGACGAAACAATTATAAACACCAATGCTGACGAAAAATGAATATTAGAAAACATGACGCTGAAGATACTGTGTTTGTGCCTAGGCTGGGCCTTCACTGACAAAGTGTTGGACAGTCTCATTAAATTCATTGCATAATCTACATTTCATATTTACATGTTGATGCAAAATCAGACATTGACGGTTTCGAGTGGGAAGTGGCTGGTCCTGAGCAGCAAAAAGAAAGCCATCTTTTTCATCATCATCATCATCATCATCATCATCATCATCATAATTGAATGATATAGAGATGTTACTTCATTGATTTTCATCATTGAATGATATAGAGATGTTACTTCCTTGATTTCTATGTTGCCCCTCCCCCAGGACCTCACGTGCGTGCTCAACCCCTACCAGCGTCTGGGTAGCAGCTCCTTCATGCTGGTCAGTGGGGGTGCCCGGATACTGAGGATCAGGAGGGACCACTTCCAACAACACGCCCCCAACGCCGCCCTCGAGTACACCCGCACCCAGGCCTACAAACAAAGGTAAGTTGAGGGTGTGGTCTGATCTATATATTACAGGGGGATTTCACTATTTGTCCGAACTGGCACAAGCAGACACGCTCGCACACACACACGTAGGCGCGCACGCACGCACATACACACTACACACGCGTGCATGCACGCCAATATATAAGTGCAATAACCCCCTTTCACCTCACACACCACCTCGAAAAGTTGAAGTTGTAACATGTAGAGTAACACTCCTTTAATCCGGATGGTAATGAGTCCAGTGAAATCGTCCGACTTGACATATGTCCGGCTGAACGAAACTTGGATACGGGATATCTGCACGTTCTCAAATATAATCGCTCAGAAGACTGGTTTCCTGACTGGTGAGATTTCAAAATTGCGGGGTATCCTGACTAGCGAGGTGTTCTGACTTACGAGGTTTCCCGACTAGCGAGGTGTCTTGACTTACGAGGTTTCCCGACTAGCGAGGTTCCGAGTCTAATGAGGTGTCCTGACTAGTAAAGTTTCCTGACTAGCAAAGTTTCCAGACTAGCCAGGTTTCCAAACTAGCGAGGCTTCCAGACTAGTGATGTTTCCTGACTAGCGAAGTTTTACAGGCAATGTGAGGTTTCCTGACTAAGGAAGTTTCCAGACTAGCGAGGTTTCCCGACTGGCGAACTTGCCAGACGAGCGAAGTTTCCAGACCAGCGAAGTTTCCAAACAAGCGAGGTTTCAAGACTAGCCAGGTTTCCAGTCTAGCGAGGTTTCGAGACAAACGAGGTTTCCTGGCTAGTGACGTTTCCAGACTAGCGAGGTTTCCCGACAAGGGATGTTTCCAGACTAGCGAGGTTTCCCGACAAGTAAAGTTTCCAGACTAGTGAGGTTTCTAGATTTGTGAGGTTTTCTGAAAAGAGAGGTTCCCAGGATAGCGAGGTTTCCGGACAAGCGAAGTTTTATGACTAGTGAGGTTTCGTGACAAACGAGGTTTCCTGGCAAGTGACGTTTCCAGACTAGCGAAGTTTCCAGACTAGTGAAGTTTCCTGAAAAGAGAGGTTTCCAGACTAGTGAGGTTTCCAGATAAGTTGGGCTCCCAGACTAGTGAGGTTTCCAGACAAGTTGGGCTCCCAGACTAGCGAGGTTTCCAGACTAGCGAGGTTTCCAGACTAGTGAGGTTTCCAGACTAGCTAGGTTTCCAAATTGGCGAAGTAAAAACCTCGGGTTTCACATGTTTCACTCTGTTGAAAATGGATTTAGGTTTACTGTTTACAGGGAATAGTAAGTTTATTACGAATTCTTATGACCCAAGCATTACCTACCGTCAACCATTTGCTTTCCCCCAGACATCATGCACTGTTGGCTGTGTTTCATGAACGAAATGAAAACACTGAAATGCCAAAGCGTGAAATTGCAACGCAGCAGTTAATGTTAACTTTGTCTGGTGAAGATGAAACGCCAACACTGAATTACGTTACACATTGGCTACAGAGTCAACTCACATATGAGCAAAGACAACGATGAATTAATTCTGTTTGCAATGGCATCACAATGAATTATCTACCTGATCTCGTAAAGTCTCGTCAGCGCGGTTTGGCATTAATCTAATCGACGTCAGTTTTTCGCCTGGCAGTATAACAGAGTAATAGCCAACTTCACGGAGAGCCGTCAGCGCTGCGAAGACGAGATGATAGTTTAAGTCAAGAGAAATTAATCTCCAAGCGTGGGGAACGACGGGTATGTTCTCGGCACCACTGCACGCGGAACAACTGTCACTTAACGTTAGATATTGCAGGAGTCGAGATCTCCAAAAAATCAATGCTTTCAGATTAGGTCACACGAAGTAATCTCCGAGATCGCTCACTGGTAAATAGCGGTACGCACCATCCGAACAGGATTACAAGTGGATTGTCGTTCGGGGTTGAATGTTTTACCAAAAGCTCTCTTTTAATCTTAATTTATTGAGGGTACGCTATCAGTTCACCAGCCGTTGCAAGTGTATAATCCGATTCTTCTATAATGGATTACAAGAAAATATTTCATGCTGATGGAAACACGATCTTGCCACGTGGGAACCAAATAAGTTATATTGTAGAATTCTTGCCACGCACGGTATTCTGTACAAGATCGATAGCCGTTAGGTCGTAATTGCATGGATGGTGTTGTGATGAATTTATTTTGTTTAAACCGTAACTCATTTAAGTGAAATCGGAGGTTATTTAAGTGAAATATAAATTCGCATGTGGGCGTCCACTTGCTAATTATTTGAGTCGGATAAACGGTTCAGAGATCACAGAGCAGAATGTGCTTGCCTGCTGCGCGGGCGTCTGGTGTCTCTGGCTTTCTGTGATCTAGTAGGTTCATCTCTATTCCCCTACAGTGCGTTCCGATCGCCTTCAGTAAAGCTGTTGTTTGGTGCACTTTGCCTTCGCTATGAAAAATGCACCCCTTATATTAATTTTGGACTAGTCCAAAGTATCTTTCTGTGATCTAGTAGGTTCATCTCTTTTCCCCTACAGTGCGTTCCGATCGCCTTCAGTAAAGCTGTTGTTTGGTGCACTTTGCCTACACCATGAAAAATGCACCTCTTATATTAATTAGGGACTAGTCCAAAGTATTTTGCAACTTATTGTTACTTTACTCTGTGTTGACAAACCTGTGATTTGCTTTGAAACACGTTGCTTATATATTTCCTCTCAACAACCAGTAGAGTAAAGGTGAAGTCTGTGCATTTTCGTAAGTTGTCAATTCTTTGTAGAATAAAAAAAACAGTGTTTATAGTCAAGCTATTGTTGTCTAACTCTAACACTTAGAGAAGAACAGGATAAGGGTATGTGGTCACACTTTATTTGTTGACGATGTAGTGGTCGTCGTTTCGTAAAGGTCAAATGAGTTTATGGCGTGGCGTGTTGTCCTCCATCCGTCCTTCCGCCAGCTTCATCTCCGATTGCATGGATGAATGCTGCATGTACATCACTACCATGAAAGGGACCATATGTGCTCACTGTTTCAAAACAATACTTTAAAAAAGTCGAAGGCCAAAGAAGATTAAACTTTAATTGATCTGAAGCAAAATCTGGTTGAAAAATAAAAACTTGTAAATATGTAATTCCGAAAATATTTACAAACCACCTGTGTAACCACAAGGCCGGGGGATTTTAAAATGTTATTTATTGTTGATGGTCACTAGGAATATAACAGGTGAGCATCAGTACCTTGGTGTTAAATTTGACATCATTCCTCTTCGGGGGGCACGGGTGGCCCAGTCGTCTAAGGCGCCGCGATTCGCTGTGCAGAGTTGCGTCCCTTGGGCACGCCAGAAACCTATGATTGTGGGTTCGAATCGCGGTTCGCCTCAATTATGTTTCTAGGTTTGTCAGCACCATACCCGTGCTCGTGGGTTTCACCGAAGTGGTAAACGTCTGAGACCTGCATTACTTCGGGCTTTCCTCTCACATTAAGCTGACACGCCGTGATGTAACTGGAATACTGTTAAAAGCGGCGTTAAACCCAACTCACTCACTCACTCACTCAGTCCTCTCCTGTGCTTGAAGTAGTTCAAACATGTTAAAGACAACAGAATGGTTAACCTGGTGTGGCCAGCTTTGAATTTGTTAAAACGTATCTTTCACAAACCAAAAGGCCCATGTGGCTGAAACGTTGGTGAAATTACTGAAGCATTGTATATAATAGTGAGTGAGTGAGTGAGTGAGTGAGTGAGTGAGTGAGTGAGTGAGTGGGGTTACACGCCGCTTTTAACATTATTCCAGTTATATCACGGCGTGTCAGCTTAATGTGGGAGGAAAGCCCGAAGTGATGCATGTCTCAGACGTTTACCACTTCGGTGAAACCCACGAGCACGGGTATAGTGCTGACAAACCTAGAAACATAATCGGGGCGAACCGGGACTCGAACCCACGATCATAGGTTTATGGCGTGCCCAAGGGACGCAACTCTGCACAGCGAATCGCGGCGCCTTAGACGACTGGGCCACCCGTGCCCCTTGTATATGATAACGGATCAGCTGTTTTTCTTACCTCTTGTATTTCCTCTGCCTGACCCCGACCACCCAATCCATTGTGTTACATATCCATACCATTATGATAAATACCCAGGTCCAAATCTCTGCCATGTTTTCTTTTGCAGCCCTGTTAGAATCGCCTCATCTAAAAATAACCGTCCAATCAAATCACTCACGTGTGCGAGAGAAATTATGTGCTAAGTTAGTGATTAGATATTGGGGACGGTGACGTCACTTCCGAAACAAAGCTATGGGGGCGAATGTTGCAAGATGAATTATCACAATAGAACGGCAATATGATGCATTGGATAACCGATGATGGATCAAGACAGGTGATACATGCAAAATGACGGGTTAAAAATGAGGCCGTGGAACATTGGGCATTGGAACTTGCGGGTCAAGTTATTGGTAGCTTAAGTATACATCTTTATCACATTACTCTCCAGGTCTAATGCATACTGAATCGACAAATCTGCAAAGCCCCAGGTTCCTGCGAATAAGAACCAAACTTTAGTGATTTATAAACATTAGCTGAGGTATTACCTCCTAGCATGGAAAACAACTACATTGGTCACGTAAATTGCTCATGTACAATCTCGTTAAAGTCAGATCTTCTACGGTACGATCTTTTTTGTTGACACGATACAGCTCTGGGGGAAGATCTGAAGATACCTCCATAGGATGTTGTGTCAGATGAACCCCGAATGAACTTTGACCATCCATTCCATATCAAAGAAGCGTACTTTCTTTATGATCCAATTTCATGTCAGCTTTCTTATAAGATTCGACTTAAGTTAAATACCATTATTCGGAAATTTCGATTTGTGCAAAAGGAAACCGCACACATCACCAATAATCCTCCGATAGTACTGCCTCTTGGTGTAGATGCACGGTCCTTGGAAAACGACAGGGTGTAGATGTCGTGCATGGTCACCAGAAACAGGTTGTATAAAAATGCAGAACAAAATAAGGGATCTACGTCGATGTAAGTTCGAGTCGATGTAAGTTCGAGATACAG